GGCATCTCGGGCGAGGATTATAAAGCGAAAGTGGTCTAACCACCTCAGCTCAGGGCGTCTTGGAACCCAGAGCACCGAGGATGTCTCAGGCGAAAGGGGCCGAGACTTATCGAGCAGGGCATCATTGAGATCAGGGTTGCGAGGACGTCTCAGGAGACAGTGGCTGGCCCATTCGTAAGATCGGGTGCTGCCCCACGACCTCGCGCAAAGCCTTGTGAAGGTGGTGCAGTAATGCCTTGTGCACCTGGTCGTTCCAGCATTGTTCCGGCGTGCCGCTCCTGCTGGCGAACGCGGGCAGGGCGAGCGCTGCGCGCGCCTGTGCGGAGCGTGAGCGGGGCGCCCCGTCTGTCGGGGCCGCGCAATCAAGCGAACGCTCGTCCGCGCGCGGCTTGCGCGCGGACGCGAACGCGCCGGCGCCCGGAGACGAACGCCGGCCCCGGCATTCTTGCACGTCCCGCACATGCCCCGCACAGGTACGCACAGTATTCGCACAGGCCGACCTCGCCAGTGGCCGAGCCAGGCCAGCGATTCCGAGATTCCCTGAGCTCGGGCCGTCAAGCCATTTTCGCCTGAGACATCCTCGCGACTCTCACCTCCTCCTCCTCCTCCTCCTCCTCTTCCTCCTCCTTCTCGTCTGGCCGAGCCGAACAGGCGGGCGGGCCGGCCGAGCCGGGGGCGTCCGCCTCCTCCGCCCCCCCATCCTTCCCCCCCCCCCTCCACCTCCCCCCCCCCTGCTTCTCCGGCCGAGCTGAGAAGGCGCGCGGGAGAGCGTTTTACTAGGAGGGCACGCCGCCGCCAGCTCACAAACGGGGCGAAGAACCGCCCCCGCCAGCAGCGAGCGAGTCTAAACGCACAAGGTTAGCTCTGCGAAGGCCTGGAGGCATTGGAGGCACAAGGGTCCCAGACAGATCCTAAGGCATGAGCGTGCATGTGCATTGGGATGTGCACGCATGTGCGCCCGCGCGCTTCACCGCATGTGCGTGCATGTGCGGGCGCGCGCGGCCTCCCGAAGAGAGGTTGCACAGGCATGTGCGTGCATGTGCCGATGACAGATCTGCGATTCTCGAACATCTCCCGCATGTGCAGGCATGTGCGCGCATGTGCGTCGGACTGTGCGTGCATGTGCGTATGATGGATACACCAAAACACAACGCACATGCCCCCGCACATGCCCGGGCACGACGTGCACAGTAGGAAGTCCATCCAAGAAGGGCCGCACAGGCCTGGCACATGACTGGCACATGCCGCGCACATGCGCGCACATGACAGCGCAAAAACGGTATAGATGTGAGTGCGGTGTACGGGTTTGAATCTTCGGCTCGGCTCGGCTCCTTCTCGTCTTTCTGGGGGTTGATGTAGTGGTAGTAGTAGTAGTAGTAGTAGTAGTAGTAGTAGTAGTAGTAGTAGTAGTAGTAGTAGTAGTAGTAGTAGTAGTAGTAGTAGTAGTAGTAGTAGTATAGTGTGAAGTAGTAGTAAAGTAGTATTAGTAGTAGTAGTCAAGAAAGTCGTAGAGTAGTAGTAGTACTAAAACGTTAGAAGTCGTAGTAGTCGTACTACAACTACTATTTGGGGGGGGGGGGGGGGGGGTAAAAAAAAAAAATTTTTGTGGGGGGGGGGGGGGGGGGGGGGGGGGGGGGGGGGGGGGGGTGTTGTGGGGGGTTGTGGTTTGTTTGTGTTGTTGTGGGGTGTGTGGTTTTGTTTTGGGGGGTGTTTAAAATTGGGGGGGGGGGGGGGGGGGTGGTAAGTCGTATAAATACTACTGCTACTACTAAGACTACTACGACTATTACTTCTTTTTCTACATGTACTACTTCTACTACTACTACTACTACTACGACGACGACGACGGCGACGGCGACGACTACGACGACTACTACTACTACTACCACTACTACTACTACTACTACTACTACTACTACTACTACTACTTCTACTACTACTACTACTACTACTACTACTACTACTACTACTACTACTACTACTACTACGACTACGGGTTTGAATCTTCGGCTCGGCTCGGCTCCTTCTCGTCTTTCTGGGGGTTGATGTAGCGGTCTATCAGGGACGTCTTCCCGGCCCTCTTGGCGCCTCGGCTGAGCCGCCCAGGGGAAGGGGCCGCCCGACAGGACCGCCCCCGCCGAGCGGTCCTGCCTGCTCCGCACTCTTCTGGCATCTTCGGATGTTCTCGAGAACTGTCGGAGCTGCCCGGAAGGTTCCTGGACAGTTCCACGTGAGGGGCAATTATAAGGGGACTTGCACAAGGGAGGACGCTTCGACCTTGAATCGGCGATGCATCGCCGATAGATCGGCGAGATGCCCCTGATAGCCAAACCGCGCTTTCCTGAGCGGGTTCGGGCTATCGGCCCTTATCGGTGATCACTGTGCGATTGGGGGTTGATGCGGTCCCCCCTATGCCTATCTGCCCTCATCATTACACCCGAGAACAATGCTACAGGATGTCATCAGGTTGTCCGATGTGTTCCTGCAGAGGCCGATGGTTATTAGCTGTGTCCCAAGGCCTCGAGGGGGCTTCGGAGGCCTTCGAACGTTCTCGGAGGCTTCTTGCTCTCGCCCCTTCTTTATTGACCTTCCTCCTGCCCCGCCTCCCTCCCCTCCTCATCCATCCTCCCCTTGCCATCGCTCGGACGTCTATTCCCCGTGCAGTTTTCGGTTTCGTGCGTGTTTTTTTGGCGCGATGGTCAAGGATGCTGCTCAATGGCCGTCGCCGAGAAAAAAATGCACACGTCCGAGCGATGCCAAGTCCCCGCCTCATCCCTCCTCCCCTTCATCCATCATCCTCCCCGCCTTCTCCCTCCTCCCCCCTCCTCCCCCCTCCTCCCTCCCCTCAAGGATCCGGAGCGCCGCGAGCTCCCAGCAGATGCCTGAGACAGCTCCAAGAGGGCGGTCCAAGAGCGGGCCTCAAGGGGTGGCAAGCCCCACCACGGCCCCGAAATAGATTCAACATGCTCCCAAGACAGCTCCAACAGGACCGAACATAGCCACGAGGTGGACCAAGATGGTCCAAGACAACCCCCAATATGCCCAAATCATTCAAACATCAGAAAATGTGTTCAATGAGGTTTCGCTTCCGATTGGATTCTGAGGTCTGAAGGATGAATGCAAGATCGCTCAAGATGGCGTCGAGTGGCGCCAGGAAGGGCTCCAAGAGGGCTCAGAAGACCCCCCAGGAACGCCCCAATAGAGGCTCAAGGCAGCTCAAAGAGGGCCACTGGGCGACTCAAGAGCGGGCGTCAAGGGTTGGCATGCCCCAAGATGGCCCTAAAACAGCCTCACGAGGCCCTCATAAGAGCTCCAGGAGGCCCCGACTTGGCCCTGGGGCGGCCCGAGCTGTTCTAAAACAGCCCCGAAGATGCCTCCAGGATGCCCCAAACCTTGAAGAGCCTACAATTTGTACGTCATGTCCGCTCCAGAGCGTCCCAACATGGCACCAATGAGGCTCCAGCATGGCAACATGGCAACCTCTCGGTCCCCTAGAGTCCAGGCAAATCCGTATCAGACTGGCTGTAATGAGCAAATAGCGATGGTGACCCAATGTGAGAACGAGAAGAACAAACGTAAACACGACGCCATGGACACATTGCACAACTGTCTAAGTACGAATTCTACTGCGTGGTACAGTCGGACCTAGGCCAGATGAACATCCCTCAACAACGGGAGACCCTCCGTCGGCCAAACCAAACATAATATATAAGGGTTCCCTCCCCTGGATGCATAATATCATCGAATAATCACGAAGAGCACTAGGGCACCTTCCCCGAATTTACATCGATTTGATACCTCGGTCCGACTGTACTTGAATTCGAGGCAAAGGAAGACACAACCGAAGAAAACGCGTTGGAGATAACACGTGTGTTCAAAGCAACCTATTCAATGTTCAAGCTGTTCGCGGTAGTGAGCAATATTGAACAACATGGCCACACTGACTGAAACCCGATGCTGCAACACATGGAAACATCAAATTACAATACATGGTGCCGTGAATACAATTTCCTTCCACCACTTTCTTCCGCATCATGAAAATATTGGCACGTCGTAGGTCACCCATGCAAACTACCCTCCCCAATGGCACCGCAAAAGAGGATAGTCACATCCGTGCCGTTCTCCTGAGAATATACTATGGTGGCTTTCACTGGCCTTGCACCCACATGCCAAATGCCTGCAATTTCTATCCATAGCTCAGCCTACGAACGCACGCATCGCTCATGACATTGTCTGCGCAAGCTCGCGCAATAATAGCCGAAGAAGTCCCCGGGCAGACACGAAAGACGCCCCGCGGCGTCGACGCAATCGAAAAGCTGGCACTCTTTCTGTCTATTAAAGTACATACGCTATTCACAGCACGGGCGCTGTACTGCCTTCTTCTACCTTGCTCTCTCCCACTCCCCCTCTCTCTTTCTCGATGTCATTCCTTCTCTCTCTCACTCTCTCTTTCCTTGTGTTTATCGGCATCGTTCTCGCTGTGATTGCCGTTATCTATTCTTTTTTATCGCGCGTTGTCTGTCTCTTGAGTTTGCCCTCTCTCGTTATGTTGTGTCTATCTGTGTGTATAAATAATTACGTTATCGAACCATCGCGCGCACTTTGCACGCTCACACCTTTCTAGCTAATTTTGGCGCCACGGGATACCCAGGGACAGAGATAGTGCGTCGCAAGCCAAAACCGAGTAGTGCTGATGACGTCTTGGGGTAATGCGAGGGACTGTGCGCACTAAAAAAATACCTCCTCCTGGGACGCCGTGGAGCTACTTCAACCGAGAAATGTGATACCCCGAGACTTGACACGCACACGTATGTCTGTGCATTGATGATGTACACGTGTATGCATATGCATATGCATGCCTATGTGTCGATGTATTTGTTTGTTTCCCTCCCCCCTCCCAACTGCAATGAACTTCCCAGTGCGGCTTTCTCGTATGGAACCAGCTCTGTCAAGCCTCGGCGCTTCTACGCCGAGGTGAAGCACAGTTGTAGGTCATTCCTTGCTCTTGGCTTGCCGAAGAAACTTGAGCTTGATAATGTTCTTGGAACGCTGCAGAGAGACCCCAGACCGCCCAAGAAGGCCCCAAAGCTGGCTAAGAAGGCCACGGCTCTGGATCCACAAGGCCTCCAGTCAAGGTCGGGACGGCCTAAGAGAGCCCCGAAAAGGCCCCAGACGGCGCCAAGGCGGCCCAAGAGAGGCCCCCCAAAAGCTAAAGATGCGAGATGACGATCCAAGAGAGCCTCAAATGCCTCAAAAGAGGCCGCCAGAAGCCCCCGGCAGGCCCCAGGACAGCCCAACAGGACCCGTTTTGAGTACAGTTGCAGGCTTCCCACGCGAACACCCAGCACCTGGGTGTTCCCAGGACCACAGAGCGGGCCAGCGGCGTTGCGTAGGCCGACGACGCCGTACTGGACGTTGCCATCGCTCGGAAATCCAAGAGCGGGGAACAGTGGGGCCACTGTCTCCCCCAAGGACCCCAAAACTGTCAGAAGGCAGCGCGCTCCCCTAAGAGTCTAAGGGATAAGACGAAACCATGGACCCAGACAAAATCGGATCGGGAGAAATTGGGAATCTCTGGAATCCGCCAATTCTGTAGGACTTATCGGCGGCCAGGGACGTTCCAAAACACTCCGGGACGCTCTGAGGACGTTCAATAAAAAATCTGGAGCGATGATCCCAGTACTGATTTCCCTCACTCGGGATCGACGGCAACGAAGATGAACAATCGATGAACGAAAGCACACCAGTCCGTGAACTCGCGCTGGCAGAGAGAAGAACGCGTGACACCGGCGAAATACACAGTAGGCAGCGTGAGAGCCAAGAACTGCCTGGGAGGAGGCAGGGGGGCGAAGAAGGAAAGCAAGAGATGACGGCTCCTCCTCCTCCTCCTCCTCCTCCGCCTCCCTCCTCCTCCTCCTCCGCCTCCCTCCTCCTCCTCCCCTTCTCCTCCCCCCCTCCTTCCCCCCTCCTCCCCTCCTCCTCCTCCTCCTCCTCCGTTCCTCCTCCTCCTCCTCCTCCTCCACCTCCTCCTCCTCCTCCTCCTCCTCCCGGGCCCCGAGGACAGCAGAGCTCGGCTGGATGTTCCGCCGGCGCTGAGACCGCGGATGCTCGCGCACGCTTCGCGCTCGCGCCGTCGACGGCATCGCGGCTTGTGCGCGGGGTGGCTCTCGAGCACGCGCCGTCCTCCGGCTGCTCGCTCTGCTTCAGCTCAGAAGTGAGCCGCGCCAATATCGAGCTGGAGTCGTCATCCTCCGGCGGTGAGGGAGCAGGAGGGATCATCTGGGAGCCTCATCCCCCCCTCCTCTTCCCCCTCCCCCTCCTCCTACTCTTCCCTTCTGCTCTCGCCCTCCTCTTCCTCCGCTACTGATCCTACTCCTGCTCCTCGTCCTCCTGTTCTTCGTTCACTCCCTCCTCCTCCTCCTCCTTCTCCTCCTCCTCATCATCATCACCATCGCCATCATCGTCATCATGATCATCACGTTTTTCGGGCAGCTCACAAGAATCCCGTCCGCTGCTACATCCTTGCACGTACCCTCCTCCTCAACACGGCTGTAACGATTTACGAATAATGTTGCGTGTTGCGACGCCGAAAAGCTCATTCTTGCTCGGCCGCCACCCGGCTGTGGTGTCCACCTTGGTCGCGCAGGACATGGACAAATGGGCAACCTACATAGCGGAGGAGGTGAGCATCGCTGCGGCCAAGCACGACTGGCACTCTTCACGCCGTTGACCGGCGATTGCGTCTGGCCATGACAAGCCTCACCCCACCTTGATGGACAAGAATGGGGCCCTCTTGACCGACGACGCATCCCCCTCTGCCCGGTGGTCCTAGCATTGGGCGGATCATCTTGCTGGAGCCAGCCTCCTTCTATTGCGACCTTCTGAAGATGCATGCCGTGGGGGCCTCCAGACCAAGAGTGGACAAGGCCCCGCCTGTGAGCCTCTGCTACGTCGGGCCCGTCTTCAATTCCGCGCCCGGTCGCGAGGCCACCGGCCCATATTTGAGCAGGGACCAGCCGTTCCGGCATTCCTGTAGTCCTACCACGAAATGTTCTAAGAGCCCAAAAGTGTCCTCAGAACAACAACAATGTTCTCAGAGCACAGACCCGACGCGGTAAAAAGAAAACAGACCCAGCCAGACATATTCTAAGAACATTTCCGTGGAAACCACAGATGGCTCTCAGAGCATTGTTTTGGTAGGCCTATTATTAAGTCGGGCCTGTCCCCCTACAGGGGGATTTTCGACGAAAAGAAAAGAATACCCCCAAAAAACCCAAAAATTAATCCCAAAAATAGTCAGGGGACTATTTTTTGAGTATTTGTTTACCTTTTTGGGGCATTTTTTTGAGTATGTTCCATTTTTCGTCGAAAGTCCCCCTCTAGGGGGACACGCCCGACTTAAGCCTATCAGTGGGGCCAGGACGCTGCGCCGCTGCTCGACGCCACGGCGCGGGCCCTGCCTGCGCGGAAGGCCGGGGGGGCGAGCCGGCCGCCCTCCTCGCCGAGGCGGTGCCCCACTCGACGCGGGCGCACGCGCAGGCCCTCGCCATTGGCAGGGGGGGTGGCGTACGCGGGGCGTGCTGGAGCGCCAGGGGGCGGGAGGGCGATCGCCTCCAGCGGTTGCAGCAACCCTCGCGTCCCATCCCGCGTCGGCAGTGTCCACGAGGCTTGCGGATGCCATGGCAGTGGACACTCGAACAGTCCTATCGTGGAGTTACAGATGTGTTCATCGTGTGTCAAACAATTTCTAAACATGGTTCACACAGCATGTTTTGTCTGGTTTGCATATTTCAAGCATGCTTGACACATCGTTTTAGACATCTGGAAATAACTTGGCAGCATGCTTCCTCTCCGCTGATCGACTTCCACAACACGAGGCTGTCCTGGAAGACGAGCTTGATGGTCACTACCCTAACGCAATTAGCTGGCACCCAAATCGGCGCTTTGGGGGCCGCAACACTACGGCGGCAGGCTTGGTTGCGGAACTTCAGTTCTCCGTGGCCAGGCACCATCGGAAATCGTTCTCTAAGACATATGTGGACCTGTCCGCACCCTTCGAAATCGTTTGCCCTGAATTGACAATGGCTCCGTCATCTCGATTCGGCTTCCGTGCGCGACAAGCTCGTTGAGCTCGAGTTCCCACCGGAAGTTCAAGATCGAGTTGATGCTTTGATGGCTGCGGGATCCAATCTTCTCGAGGACGCTGGCGTCCCCAAGGCAGCGCTGGCCATGTTCACGATTTGCACGGGAACACTTGGCTCAGCGTCCACAAAGGACAAGTGCAGATGGACGACCTCGTCGTGCTCACGCGCAAGGGGGCAGGCAAGGGTGCAAGACTGGCGCAACGATCTTCGACGAGTGCGCTTTCTCGAAAGTTCGGCAAGCTGCCGCTGCCAAAGGCGTCATCCCACATGTTGTTCGTGACGTTTCATGCCCATGCGGTCTTCGAAGTGATGCTGATTTGCCAGATGCCCGTGACCCCATCTCTGAACAGTTAGCGGACGTCGGTTTCGTGGACGACGTTCTGTTCATGTAGAGGCATCGTTCTGCGCTCGAAGTGCGTTGTGATGACCTGGCAATTGGTGGAGATCATTATCGTGGAATTCGAGAAGTGCTGCCTCCAGTGCAACCTGGATCCCGGAAAGACAGAGGTCACTCTTGGACTTCGCGGCAAGGGCGCTCACCGTGCACGACGAGCCTTCAAATACCCTACCACGAAGATACCTTTTTTGACCACTCCCTCTGGTGACAAACGAGTGGTCGTTACTAACAGGTACAAGCATGTTGGTAAATACTGTGCGGACCTCTTGTGGCTCCATCCTGCACGATGCCAAGGCGAAGGCTTCCAAATGCCATGCTGCATACTGCCCTCTCGCGCACAAATTTTTCGAGAACCCCAGGATATCACGGGACACTCGGCTATCCCATTGTATGGGCTTCTGCCGCCTGCTCTCTCGAGCAGACACGTGTGTTGAGCCAACCCCGGAAGCAATGAGGGTTTGGAGCGCTGCTCGCCTCCGCCTGCTTCGCCAAATTTGCGGCCGCTGCCTGTTCAGGGCAACCGGTCATGGGACAGACAAGTGGGTGCTCGCCGAGTTGTGGGAGCTCACCACTGACCCTTTCCTCCCTCAGCGCACCGCTATCCTTCAGGACCCTGGACGGCGCCCCAAAGATTTTGGAGGCCCTCTGGTTTTGTCGGTCTGCTGCTTCGGAGGCTCTGTCTGAGGATTCGGCATGGGGTCTGGCAAGCCGCGCCCACCTTGAGATCTTTGCCAGACCCACGCCAAGACTTAGGTCGATCATGTCCTCCTACAGGCGGATGTTTTGCAAACAAATACAAATAATATGAAACTAATCGAAAACTGTCCAAGCATAACAGACAAATCGTCACACACAATAATTCCCTACCTAGGCTCTGCCTAGAGGGTTCTTACTATATTAGCATAAAGGGGCCGGGCAGTGTTCCTCGCCCCGGGCGGTTCCCCCAGTCCCCGCCCCGCGGTTCCCCCAGCTGCGCCCCCTTACTTTAGCTTTGCGTATCTCATCTTAGCTTAGCTTAGCTTCGCTTAGCTGTAGCTGTGCTCAGCTTAGCTTAGCTTAGCGCAGCATTAGCATAGCATAGCATAACATAGCATAGCATAGCATAGCATAGCATGGCGCAGCATAGCATAGCGCAGCATATCATAGCATAGCATAGCATAGCATAGCGCAGCATAGCATAGCATAGCATAGTTTAGCATAGCACAGCGCATCATATACTAGCATCGCATAACATAGCATAGCGCAGCATAGCATAGCATAGCGCAGCATAGTATAGCATAGCATAGCGCAGCATAGCATACTATAGCATCGTCTAGCATAGCATAGCCTAGCCTAGCATAGCGTCGTGTAGATGTTAATGTAGCTGTCGGTGTAGATGTAGATGTTGCTTTCCTAGATGCTCCAACTCCTAGGTAGGGTCGCCCTGGGATAATTTTGACTGTTCTTGAATATTCCGCCTGTAGAGGGACAGGCCCGACTCAAGTCAAGACCCGAGGCCTTGGCTCGAGTTGGTGTCCAACCCGTTTGAGTGAAAGCGCTCCTTGTCGGCTCTCGACCCGAAATTCTCCCGAATGCGTGCCGTAGACGTGGCTCTGAGAGCTCTTTGACGCAGCTGTTTCGGCTCCTCTGGTCAGCGCCCCACTTGTGTGCACGCGGTGCCCTCCGAAGCGACGCCGTTGCTACACCAGCAGCCGAGGCCTCCGTAGTCGTATGTTGCGTACCCACGCTGTTGGTAACGACGCAAGATCTTATGTCCCAGACTTTTCTTGCCCACCTTGCAAGAAGGTGTCCTGAAGCCGTCCAGCTGCAAGTGGTCATTTGACTTACAGGACCAGGCGCTGCAGAGACGCTTTTGCTTCACTCAGCCCCCTCGCTGAGAGTTGCTCGTCTTGACTTGACTGATCGCGACAAAGCTTGAAAGATAGGCTGGACTGCCTGCCGGGATCATGCCTAGCCCTGTACATGCCGCGCTGGTGCGCGTTCCCGCATTCGCCCTGTACGGGTCGTCACAGCTCATGCTCAAACGTCTGCAATAAAACAAGCATCATCAACATAATCAGAACCATCACCATCACCATCACCACCATCACCATCACCATCAACATCAACATCACCATCGTCATCGTCATCGTCATCGTCATCGTCATCGTCATCGTCATCGTCATCATCATCATCATCATCATCATCATCATCATCATCAGCATAATCATATTCATCACCTTCATCAGTATCAAAAGTATCATCGGTGCCACCAGCATCGTTGACATTGCCATCATCGCCACCATCACCATCGTCATCATCAGCAACATCATCAGCATCATCGGTGGACAAATGGCGAATGATGAGATGCGGGAAGGGTGGGAGGTCGCCGGAGGGGGAGAAGGAGGCGAAGGATGCGTGGACGGAGGGGGAGGGGGCACGGACGGAGCATAGGCGGCAAAGAGGATGATAAAGGTAGATTGAAATTTGGGAGAAGTGGGAGAGGTTCTCTACGGTGGGGGGGGCGGAAAGGATGACGTGGATAAAGAGGCGGGGGGAGGAGAACGATAAGGAACACGAGGGGATTGGAGTATTGCGTGTTGGGGATGCGTGGACACAGCGTCCAAACACGACGAGGCATCGAAATATGAGGATCCATGGCGAAATAAGGGGCAGCATGTCAATGTCCGCGTGTGTTCCTCCCCTCCTCGTCGTCCTCCTCCTCCTCCTCTGCCAACAACTCCTCCTTCTCCCGCCTCCTCTTGTCCTCCTGGTTTCGGACACGGCCTCGCATATTTGCCCATCGCTCAGCAAGACATCGAGAACCAGCTCGGTATATCGGCACAAGTCGTGGAATACTTCGAGAACTAGGCTTTGACGGAATGTGATCTTGATGTATGGTGACACGTTTTTCGCGTTCGCTATGGGGAGAGCGACGGTGAAAGTCATTAAGCGGGATGTGCAGAAGCGCGTGCTCAGACTCGCAATCTAAATGGCAGTGGCGGAGGCCCACGCAAAACCCTCCTCATTCGCCCGTCCTCCAGTGAAACCTTCAAAACGTGCCTTCGCCTGAATGGCAGGCACACGTGGTGCTGACCTTTTGAAGTGGGCGCTACCCATGGCGTAACGGACTGCTTAGGGAGACTTGCAAGGAGGGAGCTGAGGACTGGAGTGGAGGGTGTTTCGCAGCATCGTTGGTAAAACCTCACCTCCCTAGAAAAGCAAAACAACTGCATAAACACAAACGTTCGCGGGTCCGCGCGGATTTCTTGGATCTGCGCTGGAGCTCCCTCCCTGGCGCGCGGAGCGCGCCAGGGGCGGCGCCAAAGGCGCCGCCAGGGGGGCCCCAGCGCGGATCCAAGAAATCCGCGCGGAGCGTCAAAAACCTACATTGTGTGACGTTGTTTCTGCTTCGACTCCCTCGTCCATCTTCACTCCTCAGCCCTTCTTCTCCTTCCCATCTCCCTTCTTGCCTCCTCCCGCCCCTGCCTCTTTCCTGCCTCCTTCATCCTCACGCCACAATATCTTCATCATCCCTCACTCCATCCTCCTCTGACTCTTGTTTCCTGCATATTTGCATACTTCCATCTCTTCCCTCCCGATTCCCTCCCGCCTCCTCGTTCCCCGATTCGGGCCCTTGCGCCGAGAAGCAGTATCATAACATGCAGGGATGCCTCAAGCTCGATCCATATAAAATTACAAATATTTGATGCAACACGATATAATATGGGTCGTAAGCTTCAAGTTTCCAACAACTTCAAGCAAGAACCACATGCCCCCAAAACGTGCTTCTACTACACACATCATTATTCTTGGAATGTGCGAAATCGGCTGGCGTTTCCGGGTTTTCGCCTAGAGTGCTTGCTGGCGCTTTCGGGCTTTCCCCTCGTGGGCGCCCTTGGCGCCTCGTGGGCACCCAGTGCGCTGGCCGGCGTTGCCAGGCTTTCGGGTAGTGGGCGCCGGCGGGCGCTTCGTGGGCGACCCGTGCGCTGGCTGGCACTATCGGACACACACACACACAGACACACACACACACACATTGCACCACATAGGTTGCACCACCCAGGTGTCACGGCCGTATACTGAACCGAGCAGGTTGCACCTCATAGTCTGCACGATGTGGATTGCACCCTGTATACACAGGTATGACCACGTCGAGTGCGCAACATAGCACGCAACAACCATCTTGCACAGAACGTCGATGAGACAACACAGGTTGCCCCACATTGACTGCACTCCGTACCTTGCACCACGCAAGCTGTACATCGTGGGTTCCTTCACCTGAGGAGTCTTGGACTCTACCCCAACGCCTGGCTTCGGACAGTCCCGGCAACTATGCTTAAGTCGGGCGTGTCCCCCTACAGGAGGATTTTCGACGAAAAATGAAAAAATACGCGAAATGCGCCCAAATGGTCAAAAAATACTCAAAAATAGTTCCCAGGCTATGTTTGGACTACTTCTGAATATTCCTCCTGTAGAGGGACGGGCCCGACTTAACACTATGCGAGAAGAACCGCAAAATCAGACGGCTCGCCTCCCAGATCACGACGGCCCAAGACCCAGGCTGATCCCCAAGACAGCCAGGACCCCTGCAAGCTCGCTCACTGTGCTTCCAAGCTGGCCCCAGGACGGCACAGGACGGCCTCGAGACAGCCCCGGGACGGCCCACACGACTGCCTCACCCTAAAAGGCCCAAAAGCATAGAATGTCATCCGGCCTTGCAGTAGCTGGCGCATTCTCGCCTGTTCTGGCCTCCCACGCCCGGAGGCGGCCCCCACGGGGGTCGAAGAGAGCCCCGCGACGGCCCGATATGCCCCCAAGCCGGGCATGCAGAGGGCTCCATGAGAGCCCCCGTGGACCTCCAAGACGGCCCTGCAGCGCCCCAAGCTGGAGGGGCCCAGGGGCACAAATAAGTTGCCACAAATCCCAGGACCCCCAAGCTTTTCCCATGTTTTCTGGGTTGCCGTCTTCCCCCCCCCCTTCCCATATGTTCCCCCGTTTTCCTGGGGATCGACGGTCAGCTGTGTCTGTGTGTTTCTGTCCCTCCTGATCTTGGCCACTCCATCAATTGAGCAGGGACCGACCGTCCCGCCATTTCTATAGTCATACCACGGGGTGTTCTTAGAACACAAAAATGTCCGAATAACAAAAACACTGTTCTTAGAACTTAAGCCTTATGTGTTGGAACAAGACAATCTCAACCAGAAATGTTCTAAGAACATTGCGTGGAAACCACACATGGTTCGTATAAGATTGCTTGGTAGGGCGATAGGCGAGCCAGGACTCGAGATCTTGGAAACTCCACCAACAACTTCAACGCCGCCAAGCGAAGCCCCTGGCGAAGCGCCGGCGCCCGCTCTCTCCGACGGCCGCGGCGCGAAGGGGCGGCGGCAAGGGCGCCCCCGGGCGGGAGGCACCCCGCCCCCCGAGATGCAGCGCCGATGCGTGGGCGGTAGGCTTAGAGGTCCGGCCTGCCCCCCTACAGGGGGATTTTGGGCGAAGAATAAGCAATACTAAAAAGGCACTCCCAACATACTCAAAGATGGTCAAAAATCGTCCCCAGACCATGTTTTGAGTATTTTTGAATACTGCTCCTGTAGAGGGACAGGCCCGACTAAACGGTAGGCCTCCGATAGCGAATATCCGCGCTCCTGGGTGACAGTGGGCTGCTGGAGCCATTCGGCGACGGATGGGCCAGGAATGGACGCTCGGGGGTCGATCCATCCCCCCACGAGGCCATCCTTGGCGGCACGAACGAGGGGGGGGGGGGGAAGGCTCCGTAGAAGGAGGCTGCTCCATAGAAGCATGGCCGACGATCGCCCCCCTGCGCATGGCGCCGACGATCGACCTCAGTGAGCCCTGGAAACGACAGGGCCGTTTTTTTACCGGTTCCGTTTTTCCGTTTTTGTCGCCGGTTCCGACGCCGTTTTTGTTACCGGTTCCGTCGCCGTTCTTTGACCGGTTCCGGCTCCGGCTCCAATCCTGGAGCCGCGTTTTTTTGCCGCTTCCGGTCGCCGTCTTTTTGCCGCTTCCACTTTCAAGGGGCATTTTTTGGAAACGGTAAAACAACGGCCCTGCCGTTTCCGGGGCCCACAGATGGGCGCCCGAGTTATCCGGGGTAACTCGGGTCCGGGGTAACTCGGGCTCGGATTCCCGAGAAAAGAACCCGAGTTAGCCCTGACCCGAGTTACCCCTGATGATGTGGGGCTCTGGACGCCCGAATTATCCGGGGCAACTCGGGTCCGGGGTAACTCGGGTTCGGATTCCCGAAAAACGAACCCGAGTTGGCCCTGACCCGAGTTAACCCCGATGATTCGAGGTTCTGACACAGAGCGATCGCCCCCCTGACGTTGCCCCCTCCGGCCTCCCCGCGGGCTCCTGCGGCGGGGCCTTCTTGGCCGCCGGGGCGGGCATGGCGCCCCCGCCGCCGCCCCGCGGCGCGCGCGCGGCCCCGTCGCCGAGAGAGCCCCCCCCGCTCCTGCGGCGGCCGCGGGAGGGTGCCGCGGCGCCGCGGGCTGCGGAGGCCCCGTCGGGAGGCCGAACATCGTGGGCCAAAGCCCCGCCGTGCTTGCTTTCAGGGCTCGAGGGGTCCTCCTCCTCCTCCTCCTCCTCCTCCTTCTCCTCGTCCTCGTCCTCATCCTCTTCCTCCTCGTTCTCGTGTTCCTTTCTGGTTTTCATGGCTGGAAGGCCCACGCGTAAGGGGGCCTCGATGCACTGGCCGGGGTGGCCGGCAAGAGCGGAGGCCTCCTAAGACAATGGGGTTCGAGCTGATGGGCTTGGAGGATCGCCCCGCATCGCCGATACGTCGGCGACGTCGACGATGCATCGGCGCCGTTGGCGTGGAGAAAATATGGCTCCACATCGAGCCACATCGCCGATGCAGCGGCGATGCGGCTCGATCCGGGCCCTATTGGGGAGGCCTGTTTTTTTTGACATCCACGTCAGCGCCTCCATATCCTTGGTTCGACCAAGGAGGCGAGCCAGCAGCGGAGGGAGATGCGGGCTCGGCCAACTGGATAAGCCATTCAGCGTGAAAATAGACGACTGGGATAGCTGTAATATCAGTCTGAGTCGTCTGCAGTATCGGCAACAGCGAGAGGGGAGGAAGCGGGTTCTGGAACAACGGTGTCTTGGAGAGTTGTTTGTGTACTTTCCGCGCCCACCTCGCTGCAAGGCAGCAGACCTGAGACGCAACTCGGGCAAGCCGTGGACAAACCCTGGGAGACACACGGCACTCCGGGGTCGTGCAGGCCGCATGCCCTTTTCCGGGCCCCTCTCGCCCTCCCCCGGCCCGGGGGCCGTCGCGGCCAGGGAATAACAGAACACAGCAAAAGCGTGTCGATTCTTGACGCAGGAGGGCGCTTGAAGTAGATTGGGATCTGGGAATTCAAAAATACCTACTTTCAGCGACCGGCGTGTACACATTCGAGAGAGACTCTAAATCACCCCCGCACCCCCGACATCAATGTTGATCTCAGAAAAAGCGGTGCTTGGGGGTTCGAATATTTCTGTCCACTCACGCCCCCCCCCGTCGCCACGCCATCAACATTAATTTCGGGGGGGTCGGGGGGGGCATCTTGGGCAACAGGGTTCGAATAGAATGTCCATGTGCGGGAGAGGAGGAGGGGGAGGGGGGAACAACAAAAACAGGCCAGACGTATGAACATTTCCGGGGTTTTACTGCTTCTGCCGGTACTTCGCCACCGGGTTCCTGTACAAGGCGTTCCTTTGCAAGCACGTCGTTTTCGGCACCGCCTGATCCCGAGACTTTGCCTCCTCCTGGCCTTGCCGTGAGGCCGCGCTTCGTCTGTCTGCCCCCTCTTTGTTAATTCAAGCTTCGCGCGGCCCGCTTAGCTTCGACCGGAAGAGGTGCGCTCTCGACCCGCGGATCAAAAAAAAGTGAACGTTTCCGGGGAGCGCGGTCGAGTGAGCTCAAGTGGCTCGAATCAGTGCTCAGATGTGGGCATTGTTCGCATACGAGGCTGCGGGCCAGGGGGGAGCCTCGAGAGCGAGAAAGAGGGAGAACAACGAACACGAGCAGCAGCCAAGGAGGGAGGCCAGAGAGCAACATGCACCCAGCGGAGGGGAGCCTCCAGAGAGGTGCGCTCAAACACGATGGAACAGCTGCCAGACGTGGCGCACACAGATGTACAACAACAGTCAAAGTTATGGAGTCTTGGCAATCACGATCGAGCATGATCGGGCGCAGCCGCAAACACAGAATAGGCGGAACATGGGCTCGTTGGGGGTCTGGCTCGACTTTGCTGTGTGGCGGCAGTGATGAACGGCACCTTCCCCTGGGTGATCAGCGGCGTCCCTCCCCTTTCCCTCTCCCCCTTATCCTCTTCCCCCCTCAGAATGAACATCACTCTCCTCTCGGTTGTCCAGCCTCGCAAGCTTATGGTCTCTTCACACAAGCAGGCCTCGACAGGGGAATTGGTGTAGGGCTAATGTGGCTCGGGAACTTAAAATCACTTCAGGATCGGTGATTTGCCCCCCGTCGCTGAAAACAACGCTCACGCCCAAAAGGCGGACCACACTCCTTCCTCGTCGCTCCTCGTCTCTGCCATTCGTTCCTCGTCGCTGCCCGTTCGTTCCTCGTCGCTGCCGTCCCCCCTTCCGTTTCCCTCCTCCGCATGCCCCTGGTCCTTCTGATTCGCCTACACCTGAGCTGAGCTGATCCTTCTTCTCCTTCCTAGAAGTGCCCACCTTCCTTTTGCTCATGCTCCTGCCAGTCCTCCACTCTTCTCCTCCTCCTCCACCTCCCCCAATAGTAAAACAACCCCCAACCCCACCCCCAAGCCCCACCCTCTTGACTACGCATCACGCCATGGGGTCACTCTGTGGATCAAGGTTCTTCCGGTCCCTCCAGCCGGCGGAGAGAACACGATTCGGCGCAACGGGAAAGGGTGGATGGGACAGCCTCCTCCCTCGGCTCGCGTGGCAGGGCACGTCCAATCGAGGCGGCTGCCCAACGCAGCGCTGCCGCCGCCCGCGAGACATGCAGCAGACGCACAGCTTGACGAGGAGACAGGGCGAGCGACCCGCCCACCCTCCTATCAAAAGGATGACGAGGTTTGACCCTGAGGTGTCAACACGAGCGCGGTGGGTGGTATGCCCTTGCAGGCAGTGTGTCCCTCCTCTGCTGGAGCAGACCAAAAAAGGACAGCGGCACACCCATAGGCAGTCGAGGGTCGGCGTGGACGCAGGGGTCGGCGCTGGGCCCTCCTCACTGGCGCGCGGGCGCCCGGCGCAGATCCAGGACATCCGCGCGGACACTCGAACGCTTCTGCTTGTGCGTCATTTCTTACTATCCTTACTCTCTTTCTTCTGGGTGCTGTTCGTCATCTCGCCTCCTCCTCCTCCTCATCCTCCTCCTCCTCCTCCTCCTCCTCCTCCTATGCCTTCGCCTAGCTGATGCCTGTCTCCCTTCCTCCTCCACCTCCTCCTCATCCTCCTCCTCCTCCTCGCGGACGTCCAAGATCCAAGGGGGGGCGTCCAAGCGGGGGGGTCGCAAATCGTGGCCTGAGGCACGTGCGCGGCCGAGAGGGGTCCAGGGGGCGTATTCGGAGGAGAAGAATGGCCATGGAACCTGGGAGATTTGGACGCTGTTGGGCAGGCGGCCTTCTGTCTCAAATGTACACAGGCCGCGGCGACGCCGACAGCGAGTCCTGATCGAAGTGAACCGGAACCGCTGTTGGGCAGTGTACCCATTCTTTCCGCACCCACTGCGTTCGTGCCGAGGAGAGTCCATGGCCCCAGCCACGGCACGGCCAGCACAGTGCTCCAGGCGTGCCGCCGCGACGGCCCCGGCGACACGCCATGCCCTGCGAGCGGGAAGCGCGTCGCCCCGCTCCGCGGGGCGGAGAGCCGGGGAAGGCTCGGGACGCGGACGCCCGGGGGCCGCGGAGTGGACAGCGTGTCGCGCCGAGGCGTGGTGGGCCAGAGCCAGCGGAGCAGCACGCTATCCAAGCCTTGGCATCGCTCGGACGCGTGCCTTTGTTCTCGGCGAGGGCCATCGAGGAGCATTCAGGCTCACGTTGCGAAGAAGCACACGCACGAGACCGAACAGTTCACAGGGAAGGGACGTCCAAGCGATGGGGAGAAACATCCCCGACCGCATCCCCTCCCCCTGGTCAGATGGTAGGGGAACAAAAAGTGACATAAACATAACAACTCGGTGGTCCGCGCGGATCTCTCGGATCGGCGCTGGGGCCCCCCGGCGGTGCCTCCAGCGCCGCCCCTGAGGGGAGTCCAGCGCCGCCCCGAGAAATCCGCGCGGACCTCCGAGTTTTCATGTTTATGCCACTTTTAGTTCCCCTAGATAGACCCCCCCCCCCTGCTGGGCCCCGCCGGGATCCCCTTCCTGGAGGACCTCCTCGTGGACGGTCGGCGCGCGCAACCGCGCGCCACGCGCTGGCCCCGACCCCCTCGGGAGCCGACCTCGGGAGCTTCCGCGAGCAGCCTCCTCGGGAGCCACCCTCGCGTGAGCCCTGTACCTCCCCTCCTCCTCCTCCTCCTCCTTCTCCTCCTCCTCCTCCTCCTTTTCCCCCTCCTCCTCCTCATCCACACCACACTCCTCCTGCCGCGGTCGCTGCCGGCTCTAAGAATTCATCCCGAAGGCAGCCGTCCGAGATCCTCCTCCCCCACCCTGGGACGAAGCCGAGACGAGGACAACCTCGGGTGAGGACGCATTGAGGACCTCCGAGATCCGGCGGCTCTGGGGGATGCCTCGGGCGCCACGGCCCTCTCAGAGCGCTCCGGCACGAGCCGAGACGCGCTCCGAAACGCTCTGTGACGGACTCGTCCTCGCCTTGGCCCCGTCCGATCCTCCTGCTCCGCCTCCCCGTGCCCCCAGAATGTCTTTGCGTTCTCCTGGAACCCGCTGGAACCACAAACAACCCATTATAACCTTTGAAAACCTAACGCAATTCAAGATAACTCAGCGTTTGAGGCAGCGCAAGAGGGTGGAAGGTCAGCACGGAAGGTCTGGAAGAGTGAGGTGGAGGGTCGTCCGCCTCCCCGTGCCCCCTGCCCACCGCCCGCCGTTTCTATCCGCCGGGGCGAGCGTGAAGCCCCTGCGCAAAGGCTCCTGCGCGCGAGGGTGCGCGGCGAGTTTCGCCTGCACCCGGGCGGCTCCCGGGGCCGAGCTCGCCGAGGACACGGAACGGGCGAGCTCGCCTCTTCGAGTCTTCAGGGCCAGCTGCACGATCTCGACTCAGATGACACGTGAGCGACTACAAGAAGTAGGGGGTCTTACGCGCGAAGGCATGGCGACGTTACGCGGCGGCTTGCGCGAACCGCCAGCGCGGCACGACGCTTCAGAGACGAGGGCGCTTACGCGCGACCTGGTGCAAACAGATTACGCGGGGATGACGGCGCAGGCGATCCCGATTTTTAGTTCGCCGCTCATCTGCGTTTAGCAAAGTTATGGGTCGTGTACCCGTCGGTCAGAAGAAGTGGGTAGAAACATGAAGCAG